TTGATCAACGGTAGGTTTTCAAAGCCAACTTCATCTATGGAATGAAATCGCATTTAACACTGCAGATCGCGTCACATAAATTTTGCAGGTTTGCCGAGAGAACAGGAGTAGCTTTGTCGTTGCATAAAACAAGTTCTAAAATACCTGATACGTATTTTCAAGTAGAATAACAAATAGAACAATCAAAATGAAAAAACAAGTGGAACATACTGAACAATTACAAAATAGTCTTGTGCAATTTTCCACAGGCGACATTATCATCGTAAATATCTTGAAGCTAGCTTGTTTCCAGGTGATCAATGGATCTTCGCGATGATTGTGACTCACAGAAAGGAGCTTCTGGCCTATGGAAGTGTTTTCAATCCTTCATTTGACCAGCAATTCCAAAGATCGCCCAGAAACACTATCTTGATTTACAACCACAGCCATCTTATAGCAATATACATCGAAAGCTTCTCCGACTATATGCTAACAATACTTAGCTACTTATTTACTACATACTCATGTAATACCTTCGCTAATTACTCGCTGATATTCTAATGGGACTATGCTACTTCTCAGACGATGTGCTATTTCTGAAAATCTGACGATGGTAGAGAAACGAAATTCAGTAAAACAGTAAATATCTAAAGCTCAAATTAGAGTTAGAGCATTAAAAGTATCGAAAGGCAAGGTTCTAAATTTCATAACAGTGGCAAGACTACGGCAAGAACTTCTGCTACTCATTAGCCTCCTAGCTGGCTGAAAAGAGCAGTAACTGACTACCGTGAAATCTTCGATCAAGTAAATTGGCAGTCAAGAAGAGGAATGGCTGTGGTTCTAAATCAGCAAAGTTCGTACGTTAGACAAAGAACAAACAACTCACGCCATTGCTTAAGTACATGCTAAAGCAGTGAACTTCATGTATTCACATCAGTAAAAATCAATTATGCTAGACCCCGAAACTGTTGCACACGAGGAAAAATTCGGCATAACTCATTGATAACTGATGTATGAATACAGAAACTTTTCCTGCATATCCAACATAAAAAAGGTGAATTCTAATCATAAATGCATTAAACGAAGAAAATCGATTTAAGAAAGGCATCGATAGAAATCGCTGTCGTACTGACGATGTTGAACATCGAACAACTAAATCAAATATTACGCTAATGCATATACTCTGCACGCTATGCATATATTGTACAAGTACCTACTTGCTGCATTTGTACTTGCAAAATCGACAAACGCAATTAGAGAACCACAATCTATCGAACTACAGTGACAGACGGCAGCGACGATACGCAGTGGAGCAAGATGGACGAAAGTTTCTTAAAGTTCTTTGCTTTTCGTTCAATTTACAGAAGTGAGGATGAAAGAAATTCGACAAATTCCCTAATCGTATTGACGAAATTCAGTATAGTGCTTCACTAAAAACCTTTCTTTCAGAAATATAGCGACAACTGCATCAAAGCTGGAGTTCAAGGCGCAAGCATAAGTTCTGTTATGAAACACCTAAACACGAAATCCGTGCTTTTCTCATAACATACTACGCCAATATTCGTTATTCAAAACATGGTTTATCACTATTTGTAGGACACTAACGTCGTCGAGAAAAATTACAAAAAATTTAATGCATTTTTCTGATCCAGTATTAGTTTACTTACATAAATCATATAACTTTTAGTCGATACAGCAGCATAAACCTCGGCGATTAGTTAATTACACATTCATCAAAGAACCCCGTTTGGCTACTCATTATCAATCTAATAACAAGGTTACTGCACAAAAGATTTATCGAAACCAGATAAGGTAATACCCAGATTTAACGAAAAAATAACCCCTAAAATAAAGCCAGAATCACAGCGATAACTTACAATGCAGGTCATCTAGCAGTCTACAGTAATAAAGACTAGTAGGTACTTTTGATGTCAATTGATCAAAGTAACCCTTATAAATAAACGCGGATCGTGATTATGCCTAGGTCTTGGGACAACACAAACGCAACCCGTTTGACGGCATCCTGGAGCAACTAAACATAATCTATGGAAAAATCCGTGTCACATAAAAATTGGAAAAAAGCGAATAGCTTCCGTTTCTGGAAGTCATAATGTATAAGGACGACAACACTATAATAATGACGGCAATATGTACCCTAGTTTTACAGGATGAAACTACCGGTACTTAACTGATATGTCAACAAGATCGAACCATACAACTCTACTAGGGCAGAATACTTACTCAACGAATCCTCGGAAAAGCGTTATGCGGACCATTTTATTCTAGAACAGTTCCGAAAGACAGATCAGAAATTTGGGGCTATCTAATTTGGAACCTAACCGATTGAACAGCAGTCTTCTATTGGTTATTCTCTACCAAGCAAATTTTGGTGTAATGACATAATGGCTGATAAGCATATACGGCGTTAGGACGATATAGCGTTCTCTTCAGAAACTATAGAATCTTCTTGGTCAGTGAGGGATCTTTCCACAAACAGACACCCAGGGGAGGGCGGTGTATCGCTTCAAATGCACTGGTGGCAACAGGCATATCTGTGAAACTGAACGAAAACTAAGAAGCAGCATATCATCGTTAGCCTGCGTCAATTCGCTGCTGGTTGATGACTTTCCACCACGTCCTACTGACTTCTATTTTCTTCCGTTTTCATTGGTATAGCGAACTTCTTCTATCGATCCGGAGGTCTTCCCGCGGACTGGTTACTCCCCCTTTGAACCCATCCAAACGATTCTGGTTTAGCGTAGGTCAGTTCGTTTTGCATCATTTCCAGCCCACTGACCATTTGAGTGCTTCATTCAGGTGATGGTGCCTCGGTCCATTATATGTATCACTGTGCACTCATTCGTCTTCCTATTTTTAATTTCATTTCCAACATATATTTCTACACTGAGTTGTGCCGCTGGCACCTAACGAGCAGTTTTCAGACTTATGGTGTACATTTTGCACTGACCGAAAATTTTGCGTTTCAAAAACAAGAACAGTTTTCAGTGCCTGTGCATTCTCTGTTCTCAAAAGGTACTCCATGTCAACCTTTTTCTCATTTAATTCGCAGACAAACAGTATATAAGAACATATAATCTGCTAGACCACATCAGACGACAAAGGCCTAAGCGGTAGGAATACTTCATTTATTCTTTAATGAAAAACCAATCGTTCTTCATTTCGGAAGTCTCGCAAAGTTCTGTTCAGCAATGCTTCTGGTCATAGACACGAATTACGGAAAGTCCGGCTCACGATTACTGAAAAAACTAAAATCCTGCCCCAGGAATTTTACGTGATACAAAGCAGTGCATCCGCTGCTATATAAAACGCCTCCTTTAACACGGCTTCATTGTTTCAGGATCAAGTACTAACTTGTTACTGCTGTTTAAATCATCAGTTTTCCCGTCAATGGCTACAAATTCTTCTAAGTAGAACAACATTGCTGTGCAAGATTTGTAATCTTTGCTGGAGTGATAATTACAGTATATGACTGGCAAATATGTTGCCCTTCCAAATATGCATTAATTCCGCTTTCATAAACAGTTATTACCCAAGCATCAGGAGATGAAAAAAATACTGTAGCTATGAGATCAAAATCAGAAATAGCAAATTAAATTTTGAGAATTTCAATATTTGCCGACTGCTTTGCTAAGAAAAATGAATTGTAACTCGACTCTGCTACTGAGCAGACAGTCTTTTATGCAAAATCATAAATACCTGTTAAACAACGTCTTGATATTAATACGATCTTAGCAGTCAAATCAGTTATCAGAGGCTCAAGTAATGAGCATCGTCATCACACTCTAACCATGGCCGATGCTCAAGACGTACCCTAGAGATTGAAGTAATGATCCATGCTGTTTTCGCCATTGTGTGGGATTCAGAACAGAAACGTATCAAAAACTTTCGTCATCGAAGAGAACAAATGTATGCTGTTGTTTATGAGGTTCACTTTAAATTGTATTGGCATTATGTGACATATTTAGACTGATGTAATGTCTGGTTTTCAGTAGGTTAAACGGTCACTCATGTATAGCAAGCGCTTGTATATAATTGAGTAGTTGTCTGTCAAAAAAGTCCCTCAAATATCTGTACCAAAGGAGCATGACATATTTATGAATCTAGTGAAGTGATGCGTATCTCTCGAAAATGATACCGACCTATATGGCAATCGCAAGACTGCCAAAAGTAGTTTTACATTTTCCTCATCAATATTTCTCCATGGCGCTAAACTGAAAGCGATCAACAGTCGATCAAAACTTTATTTTCGAAAGATGCTAAGTCAAAATTTAGTCGCAACCGACCCATGAAGAAACCGCGCAACAGGAAAAACAAAATCTTAAAATGTTTATGATATAAACACCGAATATTCAGAAAAATCCAAACAGCCTATGTGTAGTTAGCTAAGGAGCTGCGGCCCGAGCCTGAGCGCGACGAGTCGTAACTGCCTGGAAACCAGATTTAATAGTTGCAACAGAGCAGCGACTCCCACAGGTTTCGCATTGCAGAAAAAATAGTCTAGTATCCTTCTGTAACACCGTATCGGCAGATTTACATGTATGACACGTAACGTATTCCTCTGAAAATCAAATTATCATGCAAAAGGCCACAGGCTAGCTAGTTTACTTACTTATGTATTTCCTAAGAACACTTTCGATGTGTTTCTGCTGAAAACGACCTTTGATAATCAACTGATCATTGCCATCGATCGAACCACTGCAAGAAAAAGTTAAGCACTATCCAAACAATAATTCATGCATTAAGTGTGAAAACAAACCATGGTTAATCGTCAGGACTCTTCATGGTATCACGCATAAATTATCAGATACTGAGCTTATTTAAGTAACTCATACAAATATAGACGAGAAGTGCATTTGAAAACAATAACTGATTCCAAAAAAAATTCAACTGTGAAGATCAAACAAGCCTATTCCAAAGCATTCTGCTACGTAGTGTACCATAAAAGCATCGTCTAACGAGTAAACTAAAACCATCCATAATATAAACTAAAACCAACCATACCAGTAAAAAACTTTGTACGTCAAAATACCGGAAATAAATGTTTCTCAGATTATAGTCATTTGCCGTTTTAAACTTTTATATATGCCGCATTTCCCTGGGTTCCTACTTTTGGAAAGTCTGTCGAGGCACTTACGAGCCATCGCTGCAGGGTGTCACCTGCTATGCACCGATGAAAAAAGCATCGCACTCGTCGAAGTACTAACGTAAATTACCAGTAGTCTAGTTTAGCAATCAACAAAGATAAACTCGTAAACTCTTTCTTTGACTGGATGCTCGTTAGACCTCTGGAGGAAAGGGGAAATGGATTTTGCCGCTAATCACTTGAGGAATAATGTCTACTATTCTCATCGACAGTAGCAATCTCTCTCAAAATACAATTTATGAAAACTTCCCAAAAAGATTTTACTCAGAAAATAGTTCAAGTATTATGAGAAATTGCATCAATTACCGTAGAATAAAATTAATATGCGGTGTTGTACATAGATAGAATAGTAAGGCCAGCAAGGGCCATGAGTGTATCAGCGCAGGAGATTCCGAGACGTGAAGGTTACTGTTTGCAGATGATCTTGCTTTATTAGCATCTTCTGAAACTGATCCCTGGAAAGGTTAGCAGCCGAGTGCGACGTGGTCGGCATGCCTGTGAATGTATCTAAACTGAGAAGCCTAGTGCTTTCACGTTTCCCTGTCCGTTGCTCACTTCAGATTAACGGTAGAGAGTGGAGCAGGTGGAGAAGCTCAAGTACTTCTGAGTCGTGCTTACTGTTGATGGAATATATAGAGGTCGACCGGCCGATTGTAATACCTAGTGGCGTTCTGTGTGATCAAGCCGAAACCACTGTGACTAAAGCAGATCTCAGCCTCAAGACTATGCTCTCCGTATTTAAGCTGATCTTCATTCTCATGCTTACCTACGGTCATGACTGGAAATCTTCGATCCCGGGTATAAGCGGCTGGAATGGGCTTTCTAAGAAGAGTCGCTGGCCTTATGCGTCTCAGCATGGTCCAAAATACAGAAATTCACGATGGCCTTAGTGTACAGCCGTTGATTCTTCAAACTGAGAAGTCACAGTGGTTTGGGCGTGTGTTGCAAATGCCTCCAGAAAAGAAGACGCTGCAACTATTTTTTGCCTAGCTGACCGGAAGAATGCCCAGGGGACGGTGAAGATTAACCTAGTACAAATATATGGAAGGAGTCTGCTTTAGACTGCCGAAGCTCAGGCTCTAGCACAAAATCGGGAACGCTTGGAGCTCTGTCTGACGAGTCTGCTTCTACGGCCCGAAAGAAGGAAGATGGCTATGTGGTGTCACTTCGCAGCGAATTTTTGTCATGATGAATTAGATTCTAGTCAATTCTTAAACATGGTCATTTTTCACTGTAACCTCTAAGCAAAATTTACGTAAAAAAATAATTTAGCTGACTAAACCTTACTTACTGCATAAACATTAAAGTATATACGTGCGCGAAATATGGTATATAATGCATAACGACTCAAAGACCGAATTTGCCTAAAGACTTATTCCACGGCCCTCGTGCCTACAGCTACCTAGGGGGATCGTTTAAACATGACACAGCTACATCTGTAATGCAAAATGCGTATAGCATCATGCTGTTTGCTAGAGCAATACGACATGAAATCTAGTCTTGGAGAAGTTAAAGGTTATCTGATATTTTCCTAATACCTGGCTTAAGACAGCCAGACGTAAAACAACAATGGTGAGGATTTAGTTTTGCAAATCTGCGCGCCGCTAATGATACAATCAAATTCGCGCAAAGGATAAATAAATGAGCCTAAACTTTTAATAACTGAGTATGTGATGTAACTTTTATATCAATAGTATCAGCTGCACATTTAGTGTTCCCGGGTCAGAATTTGACGGGACTAGTTTATTACTAGTTCTAACCTGACGTTGTCTATGCCAATCAGCAAAATACTCGCAATGTTGATATGTTCTTCAATACGGTGTGGAATGCAGCGCATGACCATTCAGCACGGTCGCAGTGGACTGCTGACAGATGCTTCGTAATTCAGATGTTACGCCACTAAGCTCTACTTATACAAATTCTATCTTATTGCTACAGCTTGTCCCATAAACTAGACTGAAGGCTTCAGTCGAATTGTCGACCTTTTTTTCAAAGGAAGCGTCACCAAATTCATCAGTTTTGGAGTATTCCATAAAGCTCATTGTCGTAGGCAGTTTCTGACTAATTCTGAAACAGGGATAAAACAGAATAGAAATTATAGGCCTGTCCATCTGTTGGTCTGTGTAAGTTAAAGCCTAAAGCCTGGCTGAAGCAGTTCATTATTACTAGTTCGTTATTAGTTATTAAATACGGAAGGTCTTCAAATGTAGTTTTCTAACACAACAAACCTGGTTCCAAGTTCGGCAAGAAGAAATGCAAGCAAGTGCTTGGGGGTCCGTTTGAGTCTAGAAAAGATGCTGTGAGATATGCATTAATACCAAGACATGTATGACTTACGATTTGCATATCTCTGCAAAATTCGCAAAAGCAGTTTTCTTCGTACCAACTCGTAAAACCTGTGGGGGCCTCATGATAAACTTTTTCTTTTCACCAGTGGCCATGTCAGGATTTTTTTCTCTCATGATGTTGTACACCCGTGTCAACAACTAAAACGACAAAATTGTGCGAATGGCGGGAATGCAACGAATCACATGAGATAAAATATTGCCTCGTCGTACGTATAATCAGGCTCTGTCGCTTCTGGGGGTAAATTGGCTTTTGCAGCAGCATGGTCAACTTCAGAAACCTATAACGAAGTTATTCAGCAACAAAGTAGACGAGGTATTTCGTGTTGGCTAGCAAAATAAGACTTTTGAGACAAATAACCAAAGTTTCTGTACAAAGTCCACTGTAATCAAACGATTTAGAAGCATGTCTCCCAACGGGTATAGTTCTTTATTGGTACAAAGAGAAAAGTACGAAAAAACAGGCAATATAGGGTTCAGCTATGTGAAAACAAATGTTTATAAAAAAGGCTTCTCTACACGATGCAGCAGAACGTGAAAAACAGGAGAAACTTGCAGAAAATGGCGAGGTGGTCGACGTCACAGTCTGAAAATATTCACTGCAGCAGACTAGCATGAATTGCCGTTATTCTATAGATGCATTCTCTCACTAGGTTTCCTCACTGAACGCTCAGTCGACACTGAAGACCGTCGAATAGTGGTTTTTCGCAATAATCGAATCACAGACTTTGGAGATCGCTCACGTTTAATTACGCAGCATGGTACACAGCCAAAACTGGTTAAGAACTAATGCTAATACTGCACTTAGGAACGTCACACCACTAAATCACCAAACAGGTCGGTGAAGATATTGTACCACGGCAAGAAACTGCGTAGCAGTCATGAATGCCTCAGGAGAAGGTGAAAAATCACCTGGCTGATAGATACTAACGTACAACTGCGCAATACGGTAAAAAGCTGTGTCGATCCTTAGGAATCCGTTTGGAACATAAGAAGATATTATTAGCGCTGATTATAAAACCAAATTACAGGAATGAAAGAACATGTCAAACAATATTTAAAAAATAAATAAATTCCGTCGCACCGCAGGATCTGCAAAATTTGGACAGTAACCTCAAGAAACCAACTATTCCTAGGGCTTCTTGCCGATATGCCTTGTGGTGGCCTCTTGATGGGCTGGACATCGTAAACACAATCGGGAACCCATGGAAAGATCAATGCCACTCCATGCAGAAGACCATGCAAAAAATCACGTCGCTGGCGGTGATTTTACATTAAAGACATTTTAGTCTCTCTTTACAAAATTGCTAAGGATTACTAATAAGATAAACAACAACAGAAAGAAGAAACTCAAATAAAGTCAGCCCAAGTGTGACTCTAGTTTACCACATCAAGAAAATTAGTATAACAAGAAAATCTAACAAGACTCTCTTCAGTGACTACTTTGATGATTAACGTTGCGGGCACGAAACAAAGCAGGTGGTAAAATGTTTACTGCCACTGCGTTTCGTCACCACATCGGCAGCATTATCAGGGCAAAGATTATTCACCTCAAACAGTAAAACGTATGGAACAGCACCACGAAGTCACTACTAACCATCAATGCAGAGTACTTTATAGCCAATTAGCCTAACGCAGGTTTAGTCAGTAGAGCATCGCATATACAGGTGAAAGATTAAGGGCTCGAATAAAGGTCGGGACACTGGCTTCAATCTTTCTGAGGCAAATAAGAAGAGCTTCGTACAACCATTTCCTTCATAAATAATGTATTCCTAGTAAATTAAATCGAAAAGAAAATCAGTTCTGTACTCAATATCACAATGAAAGAAAGGAGCCAAGCCACAAACTTCCGCCGTCATGGAAATCATGGCATCTGATACCAGCCGATTACAGATTTACTTTTTCCTTGCCTAACAGCAATAGTTATGTCTTTCACTGACTGAGCTAGCAGTCTCAGCCTCTGACGAATGCCATCCACAATTACCCTCCCTCTACTGCAGAAAACGTGTTACGAAAACGGTTCCAAACAATACAAACGTTAAGAAAAAAATAACAGCAATCGTAACTGCCTTCGAGTTTGAGCATCTGAGACAATCAAGGCATATTTGAAAACTCTCAGAAAGAATACATTCGAAACAATACCGCAGGACGAAGAAACTCTCTGACGACGCAAAATTAAAGTATACATTCATTGTATTTTCTGTCCTCTATCCATC